GACTGGGCCTTCCTGAAAGGTGATATTTGAGTGTATCCTTGTGTCTAACATTCAGACCAGCATAAAGTAGGGGCTGAGTAAATATTTTGTAATGAATGAATGAATGGCACTGAGGCTGCCATGTTGAAGTAAGGGCTCAGATCTTTCCCTCGTGAAGGGTTCTAACCAAGACTTCTTTGGATATTCAGCAGGTCCTGATGGCAACCCAGTAGTCAATGTTATCAAAAATGACTTTGGATATAATAATAATACAAGAATTCTTACAAAGTTTTCTCTACAAGGGCTTAGAGAAAAAGAACCTCATTCTGGTAAAAATCTGTCCCATGAAGAATCTTTTCCTTTGAGCTATGTATCTCACCTTTTGTTTTCTTTACTCTATCCTCAATTCCATACCTTTCCCAAAGATTATAATTATGCTCCCTAAGATATGGAAAAAAATATTATTTCTCATGCATATTATTATAATAAATATTATAATTATTACATTATTATAAAATATATATTGTTTATTATAATAAATGTATTATAATAAATATTATTTCTGTAGCATAGCTAACCATGGTATTTCCAAAGAATCTCCTTAAACATTAAGAAACAAAAAAAAATAAAATTCAGACACACTAAAAATAATGAAACTTACCAAAAATATACTTTCAACAGTCCTGGTAATAACTAAGTTTTTAAAGCCTATCTATTCCCATTTCACTGAGGACTCTGCCCTTCTCCTTTTGAGGTATCTGTTTTACCAGCACTGCACAAATGACCTGCAATTGCAACTTATTTGAAAACTTGGAGCACTCTTTTTTTCTGTTCCTATAAATGATTCACTGCTTCAACCAAGCTATTTCTGCAAAATCATTTCAGTCTTACATTAGATAGTGCCTGTGACTATCATGGATAAAATCCCAGAGGACCACCATTTTCTAATTTATAGGAAATTGTTTTTTTAGGGAGATATTTTCCCAGTAAGGTAACTGAGGCTCTGACAGGTGCAAAGAGTTCCATAGCCTCACCCTGGAACGTGCAGCACACTGAAATCCAATGTGGCTTAAATTCTTCTTTTACTTCTTCATACTATTTACAAACTCTATAACCAACAAAATACTGAAAACTAAAATTACTACCTTTCAAGCAGGAAATTCCTCACTTTTTAAACTTCACATTTCAAAGAAGAGATCAATAGCATCTGTGTCCCTTGAAGTAAAACAAAATGCAGGAAGAAAATTCAGATAAATGATTTGGAAGTTACAGAGAATCAGAATTGTACTTAACATAAGGGGATCTACGTGAGATGGGCTGTTTGTAAAACTATTCACGTTCTCATCCCCAAGCACATTTGTGCAGGGATTAGGTGCCCTCATGTCAGAAGAAACCTGGGTAATTTCCAGTTCTACCACCGGCTTTGAACTTTTCAGTCCTTGCCACATCTGCAGTAAAATAACCTACATTCAAGTTGGCAGATCTCCACATCCACTCAGATAATTCAGAGAAACTGTCATCATTAAGAGCTGTGGTGTGGCTGCTCCCATGAAGATCTGCGGCTCTCATGTTCATTCCCAACAAGCTGGCAAGCCAGTGACAGCAGAACCTCAGGGGGAGAGCAAAAGCAGGACCAGGAAATGCCACCAGAGGAAAGTATCTAGCCAATGATTTCAGAAAAGGAAACAATAATTTAATAAAAATCAACACCATGTGATTTTATAATATGATGCTAGATAATACAGCAAGGTACAATAATAAAGCAAGCACAAAGTTTGATCAATTGTCTGGGCTTGGTACTAATAGTGGTTTTACCTGGTATTTTCATTAGTGATTGGAAAATTTTCCAAAGAAATTGAGATTTTATAGGAAACAATTATATGTCTGTGTGGATGAAATCAGAGTACTTTGGGAAGGTTTTGTGATGGACAAAGTAAGACAAATATGTTTCAAAAGTAAGAAAAAACATGTAGAAAACATTTAAATATACAGGTAGTACATAATACATATTCACGATAATGGGCTTTGTAATACAGTGTGAAAAAGATCTAAGAACACTACAAAAGAGTCAGTGAAGATATTAACTAATGGAATGATGCAAACAAAAACCCTAGGCCTCATCAATAGGAATATTTTAAGTATGACAGGAGGTATTCCATTCTGTAAAAAAATGTATAATATACATATAACTAGAGTATTAAATATAGTTCTTATCATTATACCATAGGAAAGCTTTAACAGGCTAGAAATAAGTAGATATGCAAGTTTATATAAATGTATACCACACATAATTATTGTCATTGTTATCATAGGCAAATAAATTTCTGTTATGCAAAGAAAAATGTGTAAAACTCTTTAAGACTATAAAAATGAAACCTTGGAGAATCTATTAGTGGTCAGTTTATACAAATATAAAGTATATATCATGAATGACTCCTTTTTAGTTAGTGTTGCCTGCATTCTAAACAACGACCTAATTAGTTTAACCTCTGCAAAATCTCTTCTGATTGGTATTATTAGCGTTCCAGTGAGATACAGGGAAGTTCAGTATTCTGTTCCATGTTACAAAGCTGGTAAATAGTAGATCCAAGATCAAAACACAGACATTAGCATTTCCTGAGGGTGTGCACTTAATCATGCACATGAAACATGCAGCTAGCTGTTAACATCAAGATTTCTTAGAGAACCACTTAAATGGAAACTAGGTAGGTTTTAGATAAATAAAAATAAGTATAAAATAAACTAGAAACCTTGAAAACAGAAAGCAAAACTTCTAAATCCCAAGAAACAAAACACATTGAAAATGTAAAAATAGAGTCAGGAAGTCTCTGTAGAGTCACAGACAGTGGCATAACACAGGGAACGCAGGGGTGTCGCAGGGGTGAACCTCTTGACTTTGGAGCCCACTTTGCAGAAGATGGGGAACCCCCCCGCAAGGCTGCCCTAGTAAAAAAAAGGCACACAGCAGAGCAGGGGGACTCTCTGGTCTCACCCTCTGAGGGTCTGGTTGTTCTGAAATGTGGAAACATCAGTCCTGCCCATCCACTTCCGCTGGTGTCTTCTGTGTGCAGAAATAAGCATCTGCAGATCATAGGACCATTCTCACCACTCAGTGTCACCTGGATCAACACCACACACAAGGCTCTTGGTACATGGATTTTAATTACTATGATTTCATTTCACAACTTCACACACCCATAAGATCTACTTAGGGAAATAAAGATGTGTTTTTGATCTGTTTTTTGCTCACTGCTGCTAAAAATTTGGCTGAATGTATGACTTTACCACACCTTTGGAGCGGAATCTCTGAAGCATTCTCTAGAGAGGCACCAAACCTGAGATCAGTAGCTGTTTATTTTACTGAAGCTTCTGATGCAGAATTGTGTTTGGAGCTAAGGGCATGACCATCCTGAGAGTTTTCTTCACACAATCTGCCCTTTGGACCCCATGGAGGCTTTGTTCAGTTGCTGTGTTTTGCCGTCAACATCTTGCTGCTTTTGCTCAGGTTAGCCAAGCACCTGGTGTGGAGCAATTACTGTCCTCTTTCAGACATTAGTTATCTGGAAAAGGAATGTCATACTCCATCTCTCCCCCTCCACCGATTGCCTTCTTCCCCTGAGATTATAAGTCTATCCAAGAGACCATGAGGCCAGTTATTCAGTGGAGACTTGGGTCCAGTGGCGTGCCTGGGCTTGCCTTTATTACATCTATTATCAGTTATCAAGAGCTTTTCCCAAAAGATAGAGTGTCTCTTACTGTGAAAATTGTGTACTTTAAAATCATACCACTGGTTTTTCTATTCTCCTAATCATGAACACTCAATTCTTGGTCCAGAGTGGTCCTGAGGTGAGGATGGCTTTTAAGGATTTTCACAGAAGCTAGATCACCTGGAATCCTGGGCAAAAATAATGAGTACTGGGGAGGAAAAAAGTTCTTCTGTAGACAGATGTAGCAAATAAAACTGGATCCAAGGATAAGTTTAATAGTAGAAATCAAAAGCTCAAAAAGCTAATAATCACACTAATAGCATTCATATTTTTTCTCTAAGCCATCATTTGTAGCTATAAATTTGATTTGCTTTCAGATAAGTGTGCTCTCATTCATAGAAGTGTCCATCATCGATGCCCATGACAATAATATGGCATCATAGGATAAGCCACACCTGGTCTTCAGTGAGTCCCTTCTTCATGCAGCCTTGTCCAGTTTCCATGTGGACAGTGTATTCAATTCTCATCTCATCCCAAAGCACACTGCTTCTATTTATTGTCTTATTCCTCCTTAGATTGTATTATTTTCTCCATCAGATGGACAGGGAATGGAGGTCAGGTCTACGTCACGTACAGGCCACTGACTGGCCACCTCACCTCACGTACAGTAGGTTTCCCTCTCGCATTCTTAACTTCATCTAAAGAAAATCCATTTCCTCCCAGACTTAACTACAGCTTTGCCTCCAAGCCCACACTCAGCCTTTCAGAATAGTCCATTAGAAACACAAGAGTAGAAGTTGGTTACACACACATGAAGAACTGCTAAGAAATGCCACATGTTGACAGTTGATTATTTTAATACATTCCAAACCCAATGAATAGATATTAGTGTTTAATATCCTGCATATTTCAAATGTAATCTGACAACAGGTTTTCACCATTAGTCACTGAGCTTGGAGATTTTTATTAGACTAAAAAGTTTTGAGAAAAGCAAAGATTATGCTCTCAATAACAACCAAATAGGAATAAAAATATTGTAGCATACTCATGCTTCTGAAACCCAGTACCTAATGAAGTTTTTTGTGATTATTCAAACTCAGCAATCTCTCTTGGATGAAAATTCTGAACTGATTAGTTTTGTCATATTTATAAACTCACTGTACAGTAGAGAGTTGCTTCACAAACTCCTCCAAAGCAGACATATAAGAAATATAATTATGCTTCCCTTTTTTCCTACTGATACACAAATACTTGATATAGAATAATAAAAAGCTTTGCTGTCAGTATTTTGGTAAATAATATTTTAATTATTACCTTCAAACCTCCTCCAGAAGGTCCCCTTCCTTCTCCATCATTCATCTCAAGACTTTTTAAAGTCAGCTTTGGAAACCGCAACATCTCCAAGTACTCCTTGCAACATGTATTTATATGTATGTCGCCACAAAGACACCAGATGACGAATTCCAGTGAGGCTTTTTCCAGGAAGAACTAGCAGGTAATAAAAGACAAACATCAGACTCTGATGTGTCATGCCCATGGCACAGTGTGCTAGAAATGCTCTAGAAGAATCGAATGACAAATCCCCGTTTACGCCTGACTCCCTGCAAATAAAGGCCATACAAAGCTAAAAATTGTGTTGATTAACTTTTTTCCTCCAACTTACTACATTTTTGTTATGTAACAGTTGTGTTCTGGAATGAAATTTATTGTTATACTCAGATGATGAAACATTTATTGGACAACTGTGCTATCAAAGCCCACAGACAAAAATACAAGTGGAAAAATACGTACAGCTGTAAGTGACCCAGATTTTTACCAATGACAAAGATCTATTCACTTATAATTCCTGTTTTCATTTCTTTTCTGGGTCCCTCTGGCCACCAAATGAATTCTGTCTCTTCATTCTAGAACTGTAGTCATTTTTCTTTAGCCTTTTTAATTTTCCAGATGTCAGTTAGTGACAAAACCCAGCCCAGCCCAGCTGTCCATGATGAGCTTAGAATCACCTGCATCTGCCCCCTGGGGCTCTAGAAACCAGCCTAACTAGGTCAGAAGAAGTCACAGAAGCTCTCCCTTCTCTGGTAAAGGGAGTTTGGACTTCTGCTGCTGCTGTCTCCAAGTGCAGTTTGAGGTGTGGGGGAGAGGAGAGGAGTTTGTTCTCAACCAAACCAAACATCCTGTAAAGGTTTTCCATGTGTGAGTGTACAGTCCCCAGGACTGGCCACTTCTGCCCTGGTCTTCCAGGTCTGACTCCCTGGCTCCATTTCCTAAGGACGGTGATGGCTGTTATTCCCTCACATTGGCCGTGTCTCCACCTGGTTCTAATGCTTCTGCTCAGAGCTCCTGAATCTACATCCAGAGTTTGGATTTCCACCTACGCCCTGGCAGCTACATCCTCAACCTGGCTGCTCTTGATGCTTAGATTTCCCCAAGGCAAAATCCATGTCTTCCCTCTTGGTGTCTGCCATGTTCTTGTCATTTCCCTCCAGTTCTCAGCTAGGGTGTTTAGTGTCCTGTGCCCGATCTTCAACTGGGATTATGTCAGTCTTCCTCTGAGAACTATGTTTCTACTCTCAAAACAATTTCCATCATGCAAAATGGATGCCTTGTTCTGGGGCAGAGATGAATGGTGAAAAATTCTGAAATGCTTCTCTAAGTCACAGAAAGAACTGTTCAAGCTGGGTTCTGTATTAGGGTGTGTTAAGAACAAAATCTTATCACTGTAGTATTCAAATTTTATTATCATCAATGTGAATCTTATTTTATTTTCTTTTCCTTATTTTTATAATTTCATCTTCTTTTGAGTCCATGAGGTTTTTTATTTTTCCTATCCTTTCCTAGGCTCTTGATTTAAATACTAATACCACTTATGTAAATTTTTGTTTAAAAAAAAAGTGCCGGAAGCCCCAATATTGATGATGCCCAAAGTATGCTGTACGCAGTGCAGGCTGTAAAAAGTTAAATTCCTCAATTAGCTTACTTTAAGAAGTGAGTCTGACTGAAGCTATGTGACTCACAGAGGTACCTTATGAGCACTGCAGTAGCATGCAGGTCAGAGTCCAGAGTAATGGCCTGTGAAGCTATGGGGCTCAATCTGAGATAACATAATAGCTAAGATTGGAGTAGCTTGCACCCAAATTCCATTCCCACAATTAATACCTTCATAACTAGAAGGACAATGTTCTAATTACAACCCTTTGTTTTGTCTGTCTTTCTAATTTGAAAATGCTTTGTGTCAGGAACCCCTATTGCTTATAATTTTATCACTGCAGTGTTATGGTTTAGATCTGAACTGTTCCCTAAAAGTCTCATTGTGGGGGGGGGGTCGCTTTTGGAAGGTGATTGGATCATGTTATATCCCACAGTGGGTTGATCCATTGATGAGTTCTTAGCTCAATGTGCTGTTAGGAGGTGGGGACTGATAAGAAGTGGGTCACTGCCCGTGTGATCTGGAAGGGTGCATTCTTGTCCGTATTTCCTCCCTTCTCTTTCTGCTTCCTGCATGTCATGATAGAGCACTTTTCTTCTACCATTTTCCTGCTGCCTTGGAGCCAGCCAACCATGGACTGAACCCTCTGAAACTGAGCCAAAATAAACCTCTCCTTCAAGTTGCAAGTGTTGAGTATTTTGTCCCAGCAATGGGAAAGTGACTGATATATCTACCCACCAACCATAACCATGATTTTTCCCACTTGGGCAGAAATATGTTCTCATTTCAGCCAGCAGGAAAGAAGGACAAAGGTGGCCATGATGACTTCAAACTCACGGCACTTTGTGGTTTCATCCTAGTGCACTGGAATTGTGCACGTGGCCGTGTAACTACCAGGGACCTTGGGAGATATTGTCTGTAATTCGCACATTGATATGCCCAGCTGGAAATCATGGTTCCATAACTGCAGAACGAAAGAAGAATGAGGCCCACTAGCAAACTCAGTGCAGTGTCTTTTACTTAAAAATTTTTCCCACTTAATGAAAGACTATCATTTTCATAAACTGAGTTTCCAAAACTAACTGATCTGTTTCTGGAATCCATATTTCATTTTGTTGATAGATTTGTTTTTATACTAATTCTGCACCAATGTATTTCCCCAAATTTAAAGTATCCTTTTGTGATATTGTAATAATAAGAAATGTATGTTTCTCCTCTGTTCCCAGTTCCTAAAACAGAGTTCCTAAAAACTTTATAATTTCCTGAGCAATAGGAATGCCATGTGAGTCTTTTATTCTAATATTTGGTCTTTGATCCAGTTCTTGACATAGAGTTTCTAATTCTTGTAATTTCTCAGAAGATAGGAGTGTCTTTTCTTTCACAGGGCTGAATTTTGGTGGGTTCCTAAATGGGAGTTGGTTACACCAGAAAGATCAACCCATGAGAACCTTGGAACTTTCAGCCCCTCCTCTTCCAAAGTGGGGAGAAGCTGGAAGTTGAGTTAATGATCTATCATGGTTAATTGGTGAACCTCCATAAAAATTCCCAGACTATGAGTGTGGCAAGCTCAGTTAGATGGCACTGGGAGAGGTCCTAGAGGGGGTGAACATGACATAGGACATGGCAGCTCCCCACCCTTTGACCAGATCTTGGCTCACACATCGGGCTGTCCATCTGTAACTTTTGTAATGTCTTTTACAATAGACTGGTAAACATAATTATTTCCTGAGGTCTATGAACCACTCTAGAAAACAATCAAATCCAAGATAGACAGTATCAGAATTGAACTAAATTTATGGAGCATCCATTTTATTGTTCTATAATTCAATCCAAAGAGTTGGGGTGTGCGTGTGTGTGTGTGTGTGTGTGTGTGTGTGTTTGGAAGGGAAGGGGAGTTCCTGAATGTATAGTGTCAAATGTGAGATATTCCAGTAGTTGAGAGGCTCAGGCAGGAGGGTCACAAGTCCAAGTGAAGCCCGGGCAATTAGTAACTCAGCAAGACCTTGACTCAAAATAAAAAATTATATAGCTCATTGCGAAGGCCCTGGGTTCAGTCCATACTACTGCAATAATAATAATAATTATAATTCAAAGCAAAACAACACATAGTAAGGTATTGAGACTCAGTAATGTGAGTATAGAAGAAAAAAATAGTTAATGAGGCAGATCTTCATTCCTTTTCAAAATTTCCTGAGTTGTTTTGTATATTTTCACTTATAGATGAGTTTCAAAGCCAGTCTTCTTTAAAACAAATAAAAAATCTTCTTTGGTATTTTCAACTTACATCAATTTGTAAAATACTTGGAGAAAATTGACACCTTTATAATTTAGTGTTATAAATTGAAGGGTTTCTTTTCAGCAGTTTTTAGTTTTATTATGTAGTATGTGTTACAATTTCTGGTAAACAGATAAATCTGGACACTTGATGCTTGCGTCTATGACTTCAGCTTTAGCCTTAAAATTTCCTAACATGCAGGATTTGATTTACTTAACACACAGGAGCTTGCAGCCCACATTTATTAGAAAATTGCTACAATTTGGAAATTTCCTCCATTGCAGGTGTAGGATTTGCTCCAGGAGTTGAAAGGTCTTATTTGTTGTTTAAATGCAGGATTTTACAGTCAGTTCTTGTGCTTCAGCTTCTGTGACCATTAATTCTGACCAACTTCATTAAATTAAGAAGTCCCATGCAGATTAGTAAAGCACCTCCAGGGCGTGGCCAGTGGGTCTCAGAGCTGTAGCCTGATTTCCAGGTCTGGTCCCTCACTTGTTCCTCTTTGGCACTGCTGCTCTGCTCTGCTTCCCAACCACCATAAAATGAGCAGCTTTGCTCCTCCATGCCCTCATGCCATGAGGTCTCTGTCTTGGAGCCATGAGCAGAAACCATGAGCAAATTTACCCTCTCCTCCTGGCTTTTTTTTTAATGACTTCAGTTGGTACACTTTTGATATACATAATGATCACATTCATCATAGGGAATTTGTGCCTGTTCATAATATAACTTGATTCTTCTTTTTTCCCCATTCCCCTCCCCTCCTTTCAACCCTTCTTCCCCTCCTTGTTTATAAAACATTTGTTTCCCTTTTGTCCTTCTATTCTCTTCCTTTTTTCTTCCTTCCTTTAGCCTTCCCCCTCCATTGTTCCCCCTCCCATTTGAACATTTTCTTTCCTACTTCCCAATATGTATGAGACCTTTTGATCCTTATTTATGCTTTTGGTTTCTCAAACAAGAGAAACAATGCAATATTTAAACATGTATGTCAAAATTATTTCACTTAAAAGTATGATCTCAAGGTGCATCCACTTACCTACAAATGATTCAAGTTTAACTTTCTTTATGGCAGAGTAGTACTCTATTGTATATAAATATCACATTTTCATTTTATTTATCCATTCATCCATTGATGGACATCTGAGCTATTTCCAAGATTTACCCATTACAAATTGTGCTACTATAAATGTGGGTATGCTTATATCATTGTGGTATGCTGCTTTTAACTCTTTTGGAAAGATATCAAAAAAGGGAATACTTGGGTCAAATGGAACCTCTACTTTTAGTTTTTTAAGGAATCTC